CATGTGCAACAGCAACAGTGTATAGATATCCCTAGGGACCACCCAGATTGTAGTGCCCCTCCCTAGTGGTGTACTCATGTGCTCTGGTATAAATGAAGAGACTGCCCTGTGCTCTTTCTAGCTCCCTCGCTGCTGTTGCTGCCTCAGATCCCCTCCATATATATGCAAACACTTAACCAGATTCTGCCTTTGTTCCTTTACCAAGATAGCTTCTGGCCTGCCCCCTTGAAGCATTTCAGCTTCCGGATGCGCATGCCCACACATGCGGATGCTGCCGCCACAGCTGCAGTTCTACACAATGCAGCCATAACAGAGAGGGGAGAGAGGAATACTAAGGACAGCAATCATTGTACAAAAAAAAGACAGTCTTCCCTGACATATTTAAATCAGCATCACAGGGCACAAACAGGTTCCCCATTCTGATCATCCTTGCCCCTATATTAGCGTTACATCTGTAGGAATGGATCTACACAACACCAATCTCCTGATTTTAATGGAACCATTTGAGAACATGGCAATACTGTACAGAATATTGCACAGCTACACAACCGTGATCATCACCTTCACACACTGAAAAAAAACTGAGGGTTATATATGGGGGTTTCCTTCTGTTTTTTATGCGTGTCTATTCACCTACAAGTGGCACATAACCCAGGTAATGTTGTGCTTGATAACATCGGCTGTTCATGTGTTCGGCGTATACATGAATGGTAAGGGAATTCGGCAGGCTGTTCGCCCACTGCGTCCTACAGTGCGATGTGCTCTGAAAGTGCATTGTGATTGGCCAAAGCAATGCAAGTCAGGTGTAATGCTTTGGCCAATCACAGTGCATGATAACATTACAAGGGGACTGGTCACCTGGTTGATGTCACTGGGTGGCCCTCCCTGAGGTTAGGCACAGCTGTCAGACGGCCGGAAGACAGCGTCGAGAGCAGAACTTTTTTTTTCAGGTTGGCGGTGACAGCAGGGATCGTGATTGACATTGGATCTACTTTGGGGGACATTTTTTTTTTTATTTTTGTTTTTAACAAAGGTCTTGTCAAATACTGTCTTCTGTCATTTTTTACACTACACTTTTTTTTTGTGAATGAGTGGCGGTACCATGTACCCCATACTCATTCACATTGTTAAAGGGGGCTTCCAGATTCCAATAAGCCCCCCCCCCATCTGCAGACCCTGATTTTGGAATCTGGAATTTGATTTGCCGCTTAGGGTATAACTCACAGTTCAGTTCAATGCAGCGAGAAGAGATGCACCAACAGCATCTGTATTTTAGAGGACAGAATGCAGCCTGGCTGGTCCAGTTCAAAAAGGTAGGTTCAAAATGGCAAGTCCCTAGCTTGTCCTTACTTGTCTAGAACCTTTTCCTGCCATTATCACTTTCCCTACACTAACCACTTTGCAAAATGCATACCAAAACATGGGAGCAGGTCTAAAGACTCTGCTGATCCAAGATCAACAGAGCCCAAGGTCAAGCACCACCTACAGTGAAAAATGCAAACTGCACCTGCCTGCGAGCCAATAAACTGTGCGAGATGTGTTGAATTGCAGGAACCCATTCCAAGCACATAAACTTTTCTTTAATTAGGGCTAAATGAAACTTTTGGGTGTGTTTGTGGTATTTTTGTTTGCTTTAGCACAATGCAGTTTGATTAATTTTTTTGATTAATTGCACCTCAATGCAACGTAGGTAACACAGCGCAGATGCACATATTTGGCAGAATACCACAATGCAAATTAAGGCACTGCAATTCCTTGTAGTGCACTGTGCAAAACTATGCTGTATGTGTGTACTGTATATCTAGGTCCACTGAACCTCCACCATTTAATTTCTTACTTCCTCATGTTAACAAGTTGGCCTGACATAAAACAATCTTTCATACATTCACTCTGGTGGTCACTTATGATACCTTTATAGCAGACATTATTTTAAATATTACAAAACTGCACAATCTTGTGGCCAGAAGTGCGTTCTTGCCTGGCACCTGGCTCAAGCATAGTAACAGCCACATTGTTTTAAACTGTGCACGTGCACAGTGCGTGGTCTCCTTCTCTGGCTAAGCTCAGCTAGAGAAGGGGACTGCACACTGCCCAAATGCACAGTTTGAATGTCCCTGAGCAATCTGCTACTAAGCTCAGTTGAAGCTTGGAGGGGATGTACAAGAGCAGTTTGAATGGTCCAGAGGGGCAGTTAGGGGGTGCATTATTGTTATATTTAGTCTGCAAACAATGGTATGGAGGGGAATAAGGGTCCATCAGTTTTTCTAGGAAGAGGACCGCCAACAGCTGCATCTGTAAATCACCATTTACAAAGGAGGTGCTCTGGTATGTACCATTCATTGAATGCAGAAATGCATACAGGGATTACTGGAAAACGACTGGAAGGTGGACTTACATTTTACATTTCTCTATACTCTTTTGTACCTGTCAGGAACCTTCAGTAAAATTTAATTAGTTATTGTTAAGTTATTATGATGTAACAATAACTAATGTTATTGCTACCCAATGTAATACAATGCCTAATTCATTGTTAAAACCCTCCCACTTGCCTTGTGGGCTCTTTGTTACAAAATATTTGGTCCCATTGAATGTTGTGCAGTAAGGGTTATTGAAGTTGGGTCTAAATATGACATTTTCTAAAGTTGCATGTGGAATCAGGGGTGGATTGACAACTCATGGGGCCCCCGGGCAATAGGAAATCATGGGGCCCCTGTGTCCTTGCCCACAATCAAACCACACCCAAAAAAGGCTATGAAAAGTACCAGGGGCATCCCATGGGGCCCCCTACTAACCCCAGGCCCTCGGGCAGTGCCCGAGTGGCTAAATGGTCAGTCCGCCCCTTTGTGGAATACTTTCCAGTACAATATCTGCAAATCTCTGCATTTCATGAATGGCAGCATCTGCCTCCTGTGCTCAGTCTGGCTTTCAGTACAATTTCAGTTCAATTCTTTCATTCAAGTTTATCTGTGAAGAAATTAATATTGGTTAAATGTAGATTCTCTTCAAGGTATTGACTATATTTTTCCATTAACAGTTTTAACAATTCACATTTTCTAAAATCTGTTTATTGTAGAAATACAATTTTATAATGGTCCAGCAACAGTAATAAAGTCAAGCTTTAACCATAATAGTCTCTGCTGACATGTGACATACTGTTTATAATCTATACTTACACAATTTTCAAAATAATATTCATGAAAATATCAAAATATAAAAACATAGAACCTGGAGTGGTTATCTGGGAACCGTTGTCGATGTGGATTTTGAGTCCCAGATTTTATACAATTGCTGAGTGAAATGCTATTCCCATAAATAATTTTTCCTATGGAATGACCTGATTTGCCAAAGCTTTCCATCAAACTATGCTGCAGGGGTGTCAAACTGGCGGCCCTTCAGCTGTTACGAAACTTCAATTTCCATCAAGCTTCTGCCTTTGGGAGTCATGCTTGTAACTGTCAGCCTTGCAATGCGTCATGGAACTTGTAGTTTGGCAACAGCTGTAGGGCCACCAGTTTGACATCACCACGGGTATGGATTTATTCATCTAATGGCTTTGTGAGCCAAAAAAAAGTATTTTCCATAAAAATATTTGTGTAAAACAGAGCCCTTTCTCTTCATCTGGGAGGCCAAATAGGCAAATTATAGAGGTGCATTGAATCTGCAAAATTAACAGTGTGGTAAGAAAAGTGATTACTGTTTCCAATCGTTATATATGACAGAGCAACCCCAATTAAAGTAAAGGAAATCCACTTAAGCCCATATTTCACAACTCTAAGCTCTTTTGATTAAGTGAGGGTTGGCTAAGTGACACCACGTTAGAAGGTCCACAAAAAGCTTCAGCACTTGGCAGTTGGAGCTTGCAGTTTCCCATCAAAAAACTAATATGCAAAAATGCTAGGAGTCATCACTGAAGGTTAGTGATACACCAGATCAGACTAACTTCATTGAACTCTACTCTGCCAGATCTACAAATCCATCAAAAGTTGTGTTAACTGTAGTACTTTCTGTGTTTGTTCCCATTTATTTTACTGTTGTCCAACTATTCTTTAATGATTTTTTTCAGTAAATGTTGTTCTTGTACCTATTTTCTCATCTCTTCATTAAATGATATCTAAAAATCAGTGAGCTCTTTCTCTAAATGCTCTCACCAAAAACTTAGAGAATTCTTGCTCTTCGAAGAATGTTAAAATATTTTAACTTCTGTCATATCCCTATTTGGCATGATAGCGTGTATCATAGACAATTTTAAAAAATCAGAACTGGTACAGAAAATATTGGACATGGTGAATGTTTCTGTTACATTATGTGTTAACCAACTCCAGTGACGATGAATCTCAATCTGCTGGCCATGGATTGTTCAGCCATGTGCTGGAAAATCACTGTGCAGGGTGAGGCTGAGAATGCTATCATCACATATTGGTAGCAGTGGGGGGACAGTGAGACTGCTGTTATCACAAGAATATCCTCATAATAAAAACAGATATGTACAAAATGTGAAACCAAAATTTTATAGGTGATTTTGGAAGAGGGAGAGGGAGAGTAAGGAAAATACCAAATTATGGTATAAAGTCTGCCTTAAGTAGCTGGAAAAGGAATCCATGAACTAAAATTTTTGCTAAAGTGTACTGTTTAGCTTTCTGTCTTATACTGTTCTTTTTTTCCATTTTCTGTGTGACTTTTCAGCCAATCAAAAAAGTTAGGTAGCTGCTGGTATTTTCGAGACACGGTGGTTACCAGGCTTCTGGGATGCCATAGTGTGACAACAGTCAGAAGCAAATCCATTAATTAAACCCACAGTCATTTTTTCTAAAGATCAGTACTGGTAATGCACAGCAATATCTGCATAAATAGCATTGTTTTGTACTAAAAAAAGGATAGTTTAAACAATTTGTTATAAAGATAATGCTGTATTTCCTGTTGTGTGCATGAAGAATGCTATCATGATATCAGATTATCTTAGTTTCGAGGTATAGCACAGATTTCCTGAGGAAAAGGAGCATTTATAGATCCCAGTGCAGAACTGAGGTCCACCACAGCCCCAGGTGGAGCCTGGAAGATGAACTTTTGCAGCAATGTGGTAAAGAAAATGAACAGTTCCATTTTGGCCAGACTTTCCCCAGCACAACTTCTCTTACCTGAGAAAAAAAATAGATAAGATTTATTGAAGGAATTTCTGATCAACCCAGGTTTTAGAATGTATAAACTTCATACTGGACACAATATGCGTAAAATACAATATACCAGGGGTGGCCAACCTGCGGCTCTCCAGCTGCTGCAGGACTACAAGTTCCATCATGCCTCTGCAAGTCAGTAACTTCCCATCTTTGCAATGCCTCATGGGAAATGTAGTTCCACAACAGCTGGAGAGCCACAGGTTAGCCACCCCTGCAATATACTGTAATGGCAGCTCAGGTCTCATAAAAACTTTTACTTTTAGTGTAAAATTGAGCTTGCACCATGCCATCTCACCCACTTCTGAAGCCTTCCTATTGGTCCTTTACTGTGATGGCCAGCCAGCCTGACCAATAGGGAGCTTCATTAAAAAGAGTGGGACCTAGCTCAATGTGTACATTGTAGTTTTTACTGAAGGTAATCTGTCTTTATGTGTTTGTGACAAGTCTACTTTTAGATATGTTGTAAATTTTCACATGCCATTGGTATTCCAAGTGAAATGAGAGCATGTGGCAGCTCTATGTGCTATCATAGGCAAGGTGAAACTATACCAGAACACGTCTTAAAGGATGGCTAACTGAGGAATATGCTCAGGTAGGTGCCATAGGTTGGATGGCCATGCTTATTTAAACAGATGCTCAACAAGGTGCTGGGTTTTCCAGGTGTTAGGCCTGTCTTTGTTTCACTACCTAGCAAGTAACTAAATTGGAACAAGCATGCAGGCAGTGAAGTGGAAAACATTTTTAAAAATTCTGAACTTCTGCCCTGTATAGTTACTCTACTGACTCACTGGGTAGAGAAGCCAAAATGAAGTTGGCTGCTCCAAAGACTGCACATTTTAAAAACAGATTAGGAGTAGCAGATTTATTTTCTCTTTACAGATTCAGTCTATAGTTCAGTTTTAAACCCTGTTTTAAATTACCTGCTGAGAAAGGTAAAAATGCCTCATTCTTCTTGAAATTCCCATCAGCATCGAGAAAATGTTCTGGGTAAAACTCATCAGGCTTTGCAAAGTAAGCTTTGTCTTTCAATACAGAAAAGACAGCAATGGAAGAATAGTGGTTCCCTGGAGGAAAGTAATTACAAACTAGACTTTAATTTAAAAAACAAAACAAACTGTACAGTATACAGCATTTTATTATTACATAAAATACAGACTGTATATTTTTTGATCCACCAGGAGCAGTTGTCAGAATTCCATCATGACCAATCGACTTTTTTCAAAAAATGTTTTATTAATTTTCAATATTTCAGCTTAACATCAGTAAGTTATTATATTATTCGAATACAAAAACAATTTCATTTAAACAATTCCCCTACTGGATCCTCCCCCTTTCCCAACCCTCCTCCCCCCATCCACCCTTATCTACCTCAAGTTCTCCATTCCTCTTCATTTCAAAATACTCTTGGGACTCCCTTCTCCTTCTTCCTTTCCCACCTATCTCCTTTTCCTTCTCAATTTCCTCCTCTTTCTCTATCTCTTCCATTATTTAATCTTCTATACACATCCCATTTTTCCCACCTTTCTCAAAATCTCTTCATTTTATCCTCCTCCATATGGTGGAGCTCCTCCATCTTATACACATAATCCACCCTGCTTATCCAGTCCTTTATTTTCGGCACCTCCTGTTCCTGCCAAAATTTACGTATAAGTCCCTTTGCCTCATTTATAAGATGTAATATCATCAAATTTTTATATTTTTATACTGTGGTCTCTGTTTTATGAAATAAACATGTACCTGGATCTCTCGGGATATTGACCTTGGTAATCTCCTATATTTGGTGAATTATTTCCCCCCATACTTCTGTATTTTAGGACATTCCCACCAATAATGTGCCATTGTGCCCTTAATCTCACATCCCTTCCAACACAGGGGTGATTTGTCTACACGTTGCTTATGTGCCACACTCAGTGTGATTTACCACCTAGCTAAACATTTGTAATTCATTTCCATTACTTTCATATCAAAAGCCCCATGTGCCAATCTAAATATTGTCTTTCTCTGCTGCTCAACGAATGCCATTCCCAATTCCATTTCCCATTTTACCATATACGGGGGGGGGGGGTAGTCATTTCTATTTTTACAGTAATTATTTTATATATTCAGGAAGTACCATGTTTCCATACCCTACTTATACTAAACAATTGTTCAAATGGGTTAAAATCCACCACTGTCCTTAGGGGGCTTAGGGAGCATTGTGATAAAGTGTTTTAATTGAAAATATTGCCATTCATCTAGCTTAAGAAACAACTCCTTCTTATTTTTGAGCTCCTGAAAGGAGCATATTTCTTCTCCCTTCATTACATCTTTTAACTGTATATCCCCTTTTCTTATCCATTTACCTGAGATATTTTCTTTCCCTGGCAAGAAAAAATCTGAGGCCACCAATGGCATCAGCATGGAATTAAACTCCCACCTCATTTGTTTGTAAATTATATCCCAACCCTAATTATATTTTGTGTATGAGTGCTCGGCTTCTCTGCCAAGTTACGGTGCTGGTGCGGCAACCATACCATCTTATTCAACTGTGTCCCACTTTAGGTGTTTTCTATATTCACACAACTCTTCCCTGGTGCGTTGCGTGTCCAATCACAGATATGCGACAATAGTACTGAGTGATAATATCTCTTAAAATCAGGCACATTTAACCTCCCATTCTCCTTATCTCTACATAATACTTCATAACTTATTCTCGGTCTTTTATTCCTCCAGATAAACTTCGGTATAATTTTTTTAATTACATTAAAATAGGTTCCCAGGAGTTGTATAGGTAACATGAAATTTATATAGTATTTTCAGGACGATTACCATTTTTAAAGGTGAATAGTGCAAAATAGAATAGGAATGCGCTGTAAATCACTAAATATGCACATATAACAAAAAGTCCATATATAAATTGAAAAAAAAGTCACTTTAAATTTGGTGAAGAAAATATATATATATAATCATGCTCATAATCCACCACCAGAAGAAATAAATAAACTCACCAGAGGTTATTGCTGATTAATTAAAACCAGCAAAAGTGCTATTGCTCTGGGAGCGATGGTAATAAATGAATCCAGATATTCAAAGCAGTACTCTGTAAAGGAATGGAATATCCAAGCTTGGAAGCAATACTCTGCAGCAGCAACATCAAGCCAGCATCTAGGAACCTTTAATTAAACGTCTCCTCCATTCATGATCATGGAACCACACTCGGGAATAAAGAAAGAGAATGATGGTGCAGCGTGTTTTAAAACATCACATTTATTCAAAAGTAGGTAAAACACTCACAAATAAGGTGTCAAGCCGACACCAGCATGATGAGCAGCCAGCAATACCATCAGATTGCCAGTAGTGTGCACACCCCGCTTACCGCAGATACCTCGGCTACTACCAGGGAGCGTCCTGACGTCACGAACATCCAGGTTCCACCCTTACGCGTTTCGTCACAAATGACGCCCTCACGGAGCGGCTCAGCGAGGGACGGCATTTGTGACGAAACGCGTAGGGAAGAGTCTGGATGTTCGTGACGTCAGGACGCTCCCTGGTAGTAGCCAAGGTATCAGCGGTAAGCGGGGTGTGCACGCTACTGGCAATCTGATGGTATTGCTGACTGCTCATCATGCTGGTGTCGGCGTGACACCTTATTTGTGAGTGTTTTACCTACTTTTGAATAAATGTGATGTTTTAAAACACGCTGCACCATCATTCCCTTTCTTTATTCCCGAGTGTGGTTCCATGATCATGAATGGAGGAGACGTTTAATTAAAGGTTCCTAGATGCTGGCTTGATGTTGCTGCTGCAGAGTATTGCTTCCAAGCTTGGATATTCCATTCCTTTACAGAGTACTGCTTTGAATATCTGGATTCATTTATTACCATCGCTCCCAGAGCAATAGCGCTTTTGCTGGTTTTAATTAATCAGCAATAACCTCTGGTGAGTTTATTTATTTCTTCTGGTGGTGGATTATGAGCACGATTATATATATACAGTATATTTTCTTCACCAAATTTAAAGTGACTTTTTTGCAATTTATATATGGACTTTTTGTTATATGTGCATATCTAGTGATTTACAGAGCATTCCTATTTAATTTTGCGCTATTCACCTATATTAAGGGTTCAGGTTTGCTGCGTTTAGGTAATTAATTTTGTATTTTGCTTTTTTCATCTGGCGCTTTTCTTTTCTTTTGATTACCATTTTTACCAATTTTATTCATCCTATCCAGGATAGGGGTCCTACTGATAAACTCAATTCCTCCTTAGTCTCGTTTAATAGTGGGATATCATTTATTTTATTTAAGTTCTTTGGGGAGGAAGTCAATTTTATTCCTAAATATTTTAGTTCTCTTTCCCTCCATGAAAAAGGGAATTCTCTATAAAGAGCTTTCTTTTCAGTTATCGAGACACTAACATTTAAAATTTCCGATTTTTACCAGATTCATTTTTAAATTTGACAGCTCTCCATAGCATTTCATTGTTTTTATTGTTAGATAATGTCAACCCCAGGATTAGCCACATAGAATAGCATATCATCACCATACGCACTTTGTGTTCTATCCCCCCTATCTGTATCCCCCTCACGTCTATACTATTCCTTATCGTTGATAAAAGGGGTTCCAGAGACAAAACAAACAACCCCTATCTTGTCCCATTATACATCCTGAAAAACTCTAACAATGAGCTGTTGACCTTTACCGCTGCTGAGGGTCGACTACATAGCTTTCCTATACACTCTCTCATTTTGGGACCAATTCCCAGAAATTCCAATGTATCTAACATCAAATCCCAATCCACTTTATCAAAAGCTTTCTCTGCATCTACTGATAATATCAGGACAGGGGATTTTTACTTTTTACCTTTTTGTATGAGGAATAATGATCTCAGCCCATTATCTCTTCCCTCCCTCACGGGGGCAAACCCTCCTGATCTACGTGAATCCAGTCAAGCATTAGGTCTTTCAACCAATTTGCCATGACCTTTGCACCTAATTTGATATCTGTATTTAACAGTGAGATGGGCCTATAACTAGTGCATTGAGTTCCATCTTTTCCCTCTTTCTGGATCATTGTAATATAATCTTGCAATGACTCCTCCCTCATTTCCATCCCCTCTCTTAATGCATTCATGTATAAACTCAGCTTAGGGAATTGTTCTTTAAATTTGTTGTAATATCTCACAGTATACCCATCTGGCCCCAGGCTCTTTCCCATCACTGTACTCTTTAGTGCCACCTGAATTTCCTCCTACGTTATTGTTTTTTCTATTATTATTATACAGTATTTATAGAGCGCCAACAGTTCGCTCAGCGCTGTACATTACAATGGAAGACAGAACACGCGACAGTACAATAACAATACAATGCGATACATGAGGGGTTCGAGGGCCCTGCTCTTTGGAGCTTACAATCTAGGAGGGAGGGGATAGTGGAGGGGATAGTGGTACAGGATGAAATAGCTGTGGGGGATGGAGTGGTAGGAAGAGTGGAGGAGGTTAGGAATTAGCAGGGGGTGGGGTAGGCTTCCCTTAAAAGGTGGGTTTTCAGGGTGCGCCTAAAGGAGAGGAGAGTAGGTGATAGTCTGATGGACTGGGGTAGGGAGTTCCAGAGTATGGGTGACGCCCTGGAGAAGTCCGGGAGGTGGGCATGGGAGGAGAAGACTAAGGAACTAGAGAGAAGGAGGTCTTGAGAGGAGCGGAGAGTGCGTGTAGGGTGGTACTTGGATATTAGGTAGGTGATGTAGTTTGGAGCAGTATGATGGACAGCTTTGTACGTCAGTGTTAGGATTTTGAATTTGATTTGTTGGGCAATCGGAAGCCAGTGGAGGGATTGGCAGAGGGGGGTGGAGGAAACGGAGCGGTTGGTAAGGTGGATGAGTCTGGCTGTCGTATTCAGGATAGCCTGTGGTGAGGCAGGCCATTCAGGAGGGAGTTGCAATAATTGAGTCGTGATATGATGAGGGAGTGGATGAGCTGCTTAGTGGTTTCTGGGGTTAGGAATGTGCGTATTTTGGCAATGT